TATTTTCTCTCCATACAAGAACACTTTGTTCTAACAAATTAGCATTCTGTAATGCTCACCCTCCACCCCACCCTATTGCTGAAGACAAAATTGGTGCATAAGCAGATGTAGTTACGACAGAGGATGGTGCCTGGCTATTAAAAGATATAGTATCTGGGGTTTTAAAGGTTTGAAGGTAAACAAGTGGCCATCCAACAGTGAAGCAACAAGGCCACATGGAAGAAGCACATCAGCTGGTGCGATCGTGAGGTGTCATTGAGACTGGACAATGAGCATCAGAAGATTCACAACAAACAGTAAACAAACAAACAAAAATGCATTGGTGAGAATGGAGGGGTGTTGGAGCACAGACCCAAAGCCCATCTATGGACAATGGAACATCCCCCCACAGAGGGGCTGCAGGGAGGGGAGGAGTCAATCAGGGTGCAGTAGAGCACTAATGGGTCATGATCCCTGGAGGCCTCCTCAAACCGCCCCCCCCCCACATCAGGATCTCAGTGCCGCTTCCCACTCTGGACTACACGGGAGCATGTACATAGGTGTAGTCAAGAGATAAAGCTCACAACACATGAACCAGGAACAGGAATGGGAACAGAGATACCAAAAGGGTAGGGGAAGCAGGGGAGAGGTGGGGAGGGAGGGGGGCACCGATCACAATGAAGGGCACATAACCACACACCCCAATCCAGGGGGGAGAACAACAGAAACCAGAGGGGAAGGGAGACCGCGTTGGTGTGAGATTTGAAAATAATTAACAATCTACAATCTATCAAGGGGCCACGAGGGTTGGTGGGGAGGAGGTTAGGGGTGAAAAAAAGGGGAACTGATCCCAAGGGCTCAATGGAAAGTAAATATCTAGAAAAGAATGATGGAATATATGTACTAATATGTTGGATACAATTGATATATGGATTGTAACAAGAGTTGTAAGAGCCTCCAATAAAATGATCTAAAAAAATAATTTTAAAAAAAAGAAGGGAGTTGGAAAGACTTGTCTCATGTTCTCAGGAGCGAACAGTTCCTCTCAAGACGGACAGCATGCTTGGTGAAGTAAGGGATTGAGGAGCCCTGGAGGGATAGTGGCCGCTCGTTGGGCTGCTAACCACAAGGTCAGTAGTTCAAAACCACTCCTTGGGAGAAAGATGAGACTTTCTATTCCCGCTAACAGTACCAGTCTTAAACTCACAGGGACAGTTCGCCCTTGCCCTGCACGGTCACTACGAGTCAGAACTGGCTTGAGAGCAGTGAGTCACCAGAAAGGGGTCACCAGAAAAGAGGACGATCCCACTGACTGGGGACTTAATTACATCAGCGCATCTCTTCCCCTTTGCCTTGATGTACCGGAGTCATGGGGGCCTGGCCCCTACACACAGCAGGGGCAAGAACCTTGGGGCCAGCTCAGAGTTCTGCTCCCATGGTGGCTTATGGGAACTCACATTTTACTTTGAACATTTTCGTGGGTTATGCCTTTCCCTTTATGTATGCCTTATGTATTATCACTAATACATAAAACAGAATTCCTTCCAAAGACCGCTGCCCCTACGGAGCACCGCTGGGTCACTGGGACCCAGGCAATGCTGGGAGGGTGAGGCCCAGGCCAAGTGGAAACCTGTTGAGCCAGCTTTTCCCACACCCTGAAGGCTTTCTCACCCACAGCATTCCTCTCATTCCTAGAACTAGAACTCACAGCACAAACAGGAGCCGCATCTGAGGCAGGCGACACAGGCCTGAGGAGCAATGTCCCGGCACTGATGGGCCTGGAGAACAGGGCAGAGTAGACTCCACAAGGTCAAGAGATGTAGGATGTGCCAAGGCTCCCCCAAAAGCCCACCAGCAGGGAGGGCCCAGCACACTGAGGAGGCCGCGTGGGCAGATCACAGGTTCGAGGAGCCCAGCTCCCCAGAGAACATCCTGGAGGCCAGAGGCAGTGGGACATGACTCTAAGTGGGGCCCAGAGGGATGGCTTGCCATGCCTGAATGTGGGGCAGCCCTGCTGCTGCGGGGACAGGGCAGCAAGTGGGGGGCGGTGGGGGGGGGGGAAGACTGATGGCACTGGGCCAGAGCTGGCACTGCCCAGGCTATGTTCATACTCCCTTCTCAGGTTGTGTGTGTGTGTGTGCTATCAACTGCCCCCACCCTATGCCCACTGAGAGCACCCTGCAACTACCACTGACTCGAAGGGTGTCTGTACCACACTCACAGATGCATGCATCTGTTGCAGGTCCTGGTCTCTTGGGTTTCCAGGGACTGAGTGGGGCAGTCGATTACCAAGCTTTTCTTTAGAAGCACTTCTGTTGGTTCCTATTCAAGAACCATTTGTACCACCCAAGGACTCCTCCTGCTGAGTGAAACAGAACAAACCCAAACCCTGTAGGACAGAACAGAACTGCTCACCAGGGGTTGTGAGCTGTCAATCTTTAGAAGAGGAGAACGCTTCATTTTCCCAAGTTGGTTGGTGAGTTGTTTTTTAAGAATTATTATTAAAAGATCACTTTGTTGGGGACTCTTACAACTCTTGTTACAATCCATACATTGATTGCATTAGGCATGCTTATACATATGTTGCCTTCATTCTTTTCTAAACATTTCCTTTCCACTGATCCCTTGGTATCAGCTCCTCTTCCATGCCCCCCACCCTCATACCCCCTTGATAGATTATAAATTATTATCTTACACCGACCGCTGTCTCCCTTCTCCCATGTTTTTTGTTGTTCTTCCCCCTGGAGAGGGGTGTATGGTTATGTGTTGATCATTGCAATCAGTTCCCCCTTTCTCCCTTCTTCTCCCCCTCTTCTCCCTGCCCTTCTGGTATCACTATTCCCACTCCTGTTCCTGGATTCCGTGTGACAGGAGCCCCCATCTCTTTTCCATACCTGTGTACATGCTCCAGTCTCGTCTGAACTGAGGAGCAGCACTGGGGTCGTGATAGTGGGGGATGAAGAAGCCTCAAGGAACCAGAGGAATATTGTGTGTTTCATCGATGTTTTACTGCCCCCTGGTTGACTCATCCCTTCCTGTGGCCTCTCTGTGGGGGGATTGTTCCATTGTCTACAGATGGGCTTTGGGTCTCTGGTCCCCCCCCACCCTTGTTCTCAACAATATGTTTTTGTTTGTTTGCTTGTTATGTGTCTTCTGATGCCTATTACCCGGTCCCAATGACTCCTCATGATCACACCAGTGGTGTGCTTCTTCCATGTGGGCCGAATGGCGGCTTGTGTAACGTCAAGCCTTTAAGACCCCAGACGCTCTATCTTTTTGTAGCCAGGCACCATCCGCCTTCTGTTGGTTGGTGAGTTTGAAAGGCCGTCCTTAAAGTTAGCAGCACAACACTGAGCCCAGTGGGAGGCTTCTGTGATGATGAAACTGAAATCTCTTTATAGCTAGCTAGACTCAGTAGGGACCCTAGAGGAGTGGGTAGAACGGCCCCTGTGGGTTTCCCAGACTGTAACTCTTGACTTCTTCTTTCTCCCACAGTGGGTTCAAACTGCTAACCTTGTGGTGAGCAGTCCAATGCGTAAACACTGTGTTTAGTCAGGATCCACAGGACGTTCATTACAGCTAGACTTGTGTTATGCTTTGCCAGTAGATGGCACTGGAGAGCAACAGGAAGAGAAGGAGACGCTTTCTCTGCAGGCTTCTGCAGGTGTTTTGCTGGCACCTGGCTCCTTGCGCAGTGGATGGTTTCCCTGCATCCGGCCTTGAGGCAGCGCAAGTGGTAAGCCCCACCCAGTGGCCCCAGCACAGACTGCCTTGCAACGCACAGCTTCTGCTGGCACCCTAGAGGGCTGCCTCCAGCTAGGTCTACAAACCGCCTGTGATCCGGAGGGACCAATCCCTGGAGAAGGTCACCTTTAGTATGGTAGAGGGTCAGCGAAAAGAGGGGCAAAGGAAGACCTCCCATGAGATGGTTTGACATAGTGGCTGCAACAACAGGCTCAAGATGGCGCAGGACCGGGGCCACATTTCATTATGCTCTTCGCTGCGCCGCGTTGCCCTACGTGGGCACGGGCTTGACGGCGCTGACATCGGGGGTGTGTGCGCAGAGCGTCTGCGTGCTCTCTGCTGCCGGGTCTCCCTTCATGCAGGTGCTCTCTTCTGGGTCACTCAAGGCACGCCTTGGACCTAACGGACTCCACAGACCTGTTTACACCCATCTATTTACCAAGAGCAGCAGACACGGTGTCCTGCGTTCTGGGCTGAAGTGAGCTGACTTGGCCACAGTACCAGGCAATTTGGTGATGGTGCCATTCTGTGGGGGGCTCACATCAAGACGTGGCTGAAACATTTCAAATTATTTGCTGTTGCAAATCTCAAAATGATCTTAACTTCCCAGTTGGTTGCATGGATGAGCAATTCCAAATGCTTGTGGTCAGACCTTCCACGTTGTCGTCTTTATAAGTGAAGGATCAAAGACAGGGAGCCCAGTGCCTCCAGCTGGCCCCTCCTCCAGTTGGCCCCCTCAGCTCTGCCACTACTCCCCCCCCCCACCCCACACGCATGCACAGTGCCACAGGAGGCCACGTGGGCTAGCAGCCCAAGTCAGGTTCATGTTCACCATCCACGGCCAACTGCACTCCCCAGCCTCAGCCTCTCAGCCGTGCACCCTGACAGCTGTGGTCAGTGTTGGGACTTCACACCCACATGTCAGCTCAGGGTCCCAGTCTGCCAGCATTCCCCACTCTGCAGTGACTGACCTCTGTCCCAGAGAGCACGGCCAGGCCTTTCCAGATCAGTGGGCTGAGTTTGTGGGCCTGGCCCAGGCTCTCTGGCTACCCTCTCCCCTGTCCTCACCACCCTGTGGGAACAGACTGGGAAGCTCAGTGACCCCCCACCGCCCCCAGGTGGCTACACACCAGCCTCCAGGTCACCTGCTCTGTCCCTTGGCCATAGTGGGCATAATCCAGCAACACCAACACCTCATCCCTTGCAAATAAGGATGCCTGGGTGCAATGGACACTAGTTCAAAAAGCACCAGGAGAGACATGACGAGTGGGGGTTACCTGTAAGCATTTTTGGAAACAGGGCGAGGGTCAAACTTAAAGAAGATGATACACATGGTTCTCTTGGAGGCTGCCTCCCACGGTCACACAGTCTGTGGGAAGAGGGACAATGAATTTAGTGAGCAGTGGAGGGCAGGCTGCAGCACTGGCTGGCACCGGGAGACCAAACTTCCTCCGTACATCAGAGTTCCTGCCCGAACCCCAAACACCGGCACTGACTGAATTGCTGCATCAATGCCCGTGACACTAGCTGGCAGCGGGCAGAGCTGTCTCCCTCCTTGGAGCCATAGCCAGTGAGCAGGCACTGCAGGACCATGGCAGCGACCCCAACTTGCAAACACAGCCCCATCACACAGCCAGACCCCAGACCTCCTGTTCTTTTCCCGGGCCACAGTGCCCAGCCCCACTACCAGCCAGTGGGAGGTCACACCACCTCAGCCCCCAGCCACTCAGGGAGCCTCTTCCAACCCAGGAGGGCTGCTTGGCAGCTCATACACAGGAACACCCTCTGCAACGCCCCCCCCCCCCAACCGTGCATGGGACCTCAGAGGCAAGATCAGAGGGAAGGCCACAAGGCAGGCATGTCCCAGGCAAGAGTGAGAGTTGTCCATGAGTGAATGTGGGCTCAGCACAGCTCTCCTCCCAGGCTCCAAGATGCCTCAGAGCCCAGGGGTGGGGGCTCCCCAAACGGAGGGAGGGAGGGGTTGGTGACTCAGCTCTGTGGCCAAAAGCACAAGACCAATGAGGCTGTCCAAATCCCGAGGGGAGCCACGGGGGAGAGATGGTGCTGCTGAATGGGTGGTGATGCACACACGCCTGAGTTAGCGAGCTCCGTATGTACGTATAACCTCGGGCATCTATGCTGTGTGCCCGTACACATGTCCATGGACGGTGTGTACATGTGTTGGTGAGGTGTGTGCACATTTATAACTATGTGTCTATGCTGTATTTACATGTGTATGCTCATGAGCAATATGTGCATGTGCCTGTGTGCACATGTGTCTCTCTGTGCACTATGTGTATATGATTGTGTCTCTGTGATCACATACAATGTGTACACATGTATCTCTGTGCTGTGTACACACATTTCTATGCCATGTGCAATGTGGACACACATGTCTGCGTGCATCATGTGCTCTGTGTACATCTGTGTGCTGTGTGTGCACATGCGTGTCTGAGTGTCTGAAAAAGTGCGCCAAGTTTTAAGTGGACCAGCTCACGGCTGCGTGGTTTTGGGGGTGCTGTGCACCAGCATGGGGCACCCCAGGACCAGGAAGGGTTTTCTTCTCCATAGAAAGGACAGAGGGAAAAAAAGGGGTGGCTCACTGGGTCTCAGATGCCTGTTGGTGTGTGGCCCAGGAACACTCTCTAGGAAGAGATATGAGTTATGCCCCATGTCAGAGGGAGATGGGGGGAAAGACACCACCCTCACGTGGGCCATGGCCAATTCTGTCTGCTCCGCTATCTGGCCTTAGAGTGGCCACACCAGAGACAGAGGCCATGACACTGGCAGGGACAAGCATGACCATCTCAACAAAGGACCCCAAAAGTATGCTCCCTGGAAGGGCAGTGGGTGGAAGAAGCCAAGACCCTCAGGGCTCACTATCTATGTCACCTCCCTTGGCCACACCCTGGTAAGTTGATTGCCCAGACAAGGCCACTGCTGACCAGAGGTCTAAGCAGGCTGAACCTGCCACCAGCACTATAGATGCAGCCAGCAGCTCAGAGGGGAAGGAAGCGGCTCTGCCTCGGATGACAATGTCACCATGCTCCAGGCCACTGGGACCCTCTCCCCATCACTGGTCAGGACCTGAGCACCTTCTGCCAGCAGCTGGGACCAGGGTGGGGCATAAGCCTAGCTGGACCCAGTATGTCTGAATTGAGCACCTTCTGTTAGCAGCTGGGACCAGGGTGGGGCATAGGCCTAGCTGGACCCAGTATGTCTGGAATTCCCAGGATGTAACACTACCTCAGGACACAGCAGGCCGATGCATGCTCATTCACCCTCTCACTGTCCCTCCCCAGCACTGCTTCTATTGGCCCCCACGGGCACAGTGGGGATGTGCTCAGTGGACCATCCCCAACCTGTAATACCTGTACACAGGTGAGGTGTCTGCATGGTGATGCACAATGTCTGCAGGGGCTGCAGGCCCTAAAAGATGGGCTGCTAGCCATCTCACAGGTGCTGGGGCCAAAGGCAGCAGGAGACAGAGCAAGACAGTCCCCCGGGAGCGTGCTGACACACAAGGCCTGTGTGGACTTTGTGCTGCACATCTCTGGCCAGTCTGAGGTGCCATCTCTGCCCAGTACGTCCCCAACGTGATGTGTTAGAAATCTCAACCTCCATGCTGGTGCCCCTCATTCCAGGTGGGAATGCACCACCTTTGTGCCCAGAGCCCTTGGTCTGCCTCAAGACCCATGTGATGGAGGACCATCCCCCTGGGACAGCCCTGCTCTGGGGATGTCAGAGGAGATGACTATCATTACCCTTTCATGGTCCTTGCCTGGCCACATGCCTGACCACTCTGACCACTGATGCCCACTGTTGAGATGCCAAGTGTCACCCCCACCAGCTGCAGATCAGGGCTTTGAGGGGAGGCAGAGGCAGACGGCTCAGCACCAGTGCTGAGGAAATGGCAAGGGGCAGGTTCTGTGATCAGAGGGGCAGCCTGCGGTCCTTCACAGAGCCATTGGCTTGTCTTCAGGCTGGCGTAGACCCAGAGGAGTGACTCAGAGCCCAGCAGCTTCAGCCTTGACAAAGACGCGGTCATTGGGAAGGAAGGACCAGAGGAAAACCAGCCCCTGGGGAGGGGACCATCAGGGACTGCCTTTCTCTCCAGCCCCTCACCCCCCACTCAAGCCAGGCCTGCTGCCCTCCAAACCCTTCACCCTACTGCATCCTAGCACCTGCCTGCCTGCCTTCCAGCTTCACCCTGTTCACTGAGGCTCCCAAGGGCCCTCAGCAGGCTCCTAGAAGGTGCCTGTGAGTATGAACAGGACTCTTTCTCCCAGCATGCTCCCTGCCAGTCCACCATGGAACCTCCCTGACACCTGCACAGCAAGTAAGCAAACCCACCCTCTTGGCTCCCTGTCCACCAGCGGCTATGCAGACCATTGCCCTTCTGCCTGTACTTGCCCATGGTGCAGGGGCTGCTGGAGGCAAGGCTTCAGCTGGGAGAGCAGAGACAGGCAGCCTGAAAGTGCTTCCAGAGGCACCAATATAGTCTGAAGTTTCACCTGGCCAAGTGGCATCAATGTAGGTGACTTGAGGGAGGTGTGTGCTTGGAGTTTGCAGTTATCAGGTTCTACTCTGTGAACTCAGTAAGGAGGCAGAGACCCCTGATGGGTGTCTGTGGGCCCTGCAGGGTTCTGGGACTTCTCCCCAAACTCAGTGCCATTGACTTTCTAGGACAGGGTAGAACTGCCCCTGTGGATTGCTTGACAGGAGTAGAGAGCCCCATCTTTCTCCCAAGGAGCAGCTGGTGGTTTCAAACTGCTGACTGTGGGGTTAGCAGCCCAGTGTGGAACCACTACACCACCAGGGCTCCTGGAGCTGCTCACTGGCAGCCAGAATTTGAGGCAGGAAGGAGGGTCTCTGGGGCCAGGACTACCTTGCAACAATCTTTGAGGTGTCAGCTGCCACCCAGAAGGACACCTCACTGGCATTGGAGCATCAGCAGAATGTCACTCTGCTTCCTCAACAACATGGGGACCACCTCTGTGTCCCAAGGGTGCTGCCTGCAACCCAGTAGGCAAAGGAGATGGGGTGGCTGGACTCCACATCCCTGCAGTAAACCCCATATTCGCTGTGGTGTAGTGGATTAGGCTTTGGGCTGCTAACCACAAATCCTTCCGTTGCAACATGGGAGAAAGATGAGGCTGTCTGCCCACAGGGGCAGTTCCCTGTTCTGTAGAGCTGCTGTGAGTTGGAATCAACTCACTGGCCAGGGGTTGGGTTTTGTTGGTTTAAGCCTTATGGGAAGGGTCCTGCTGGTGCAGAGGTTAAGCATTCAGCAGCTAGCCACATGGCTGGCAGTTTGAACATACCAGCCGCTGTGTGGCAGGAAGAGGCAGCAATCTGCTTCTGGAAAGGTTACAGCTTGGGACATCCCAGAGGCCCATCCTTCTCAAAGTTCTGGGGCCACTACACGTTGTACAGGCAGTAGATGGGCATCTTCCATGGATGGGCAGGAAGACACAGAAAGTGCTCAGTATACCATGAGTGCTCAAGTGCCTCCCCCATAGGCACTGCCCGGGCTGCAGTCCTACTCCCCTTCCAGCTGCCCGCCACCAACCAGAAGCCAAGGCCCATTTCACACGTGCCAACACCTCCACTCCCAGCCAAACCTCTGCTGGCCCAGAGCACCCCATGAGCCTCGGCACTGGGCCACTCCAGCCTGCCGGACAAAGAGTCCCCAGGCTCACCTGGCTCCTCACCAGAGGGACTACCAAGGGTGAAGTGAAATAGAAGAACGCTCTTCAAATGATAGCCAAGGGGCTTCCTGCTCTCCTTCAGAAACCCGTGAAAGCCCTTCCCAGCCCCCAACATCTCGTCACCACAGGTAGTCCCTCCAATGAGGAAGGAAGAGTCTGGGTCTGACACCGGTTTTTCTTAGCAAACGGTGGTGTCGGCGGAGAGGGCTGGCCTCTTTTCAGGCACGTCCAGCCTATCTGCGTGGTAGTGATGTCCCAGGAGGCTGTGCCTCTGTCTCTGAGCCCAAGCCCATTCTGTCCCTGGCTAAGTGCCCTCATCAGGCTGGGTCTGCTCCTCCCTCTGACTCCACTGAGGACCCAATGGGGCTTCGTCCTAACAGTTGGTGGACGGGATTATGACGCAGCCTCTTTACCAAGAACAAGACTCAAGTTGAGTCAAGCCATAAGTCTCTCTACAGGCAGCATCTAAGAATAGTTTGGCAAGGAAGAGCTGTAGACAGACAGGGAGACAACTCTGGGGCCCAGAGGACAAAGCAGAGACACCCTGTGTGTGAGGGCTAATATTCCAAGCCTGGGGCATGGTAGGAAATTCCCAGCATCACTGCTAGTTGTATGGTCAGGATCATCAGGATTCAGTTTCCCAAAGTGGAAGTGGATCTGGTTCTCAGACTCTCTTCTTCGGCCACACTTTATCATCGCCCCAGCTGTCTGGACTGGGTCAGAATTCACGCTTGGAGGGACACCTTTCAGACTGTAGACCCAGTACGAGGCAGCCTCTGCTGGCTCCCACTACCCCTGAGGGACTGTGACTTTGCTGGAACAACTCACAGCAGTCACGCTGAGCACAACAGATCTTAAGGAACCTGAGTGGCACAATGTGTCACATGGTGAGCTGCTAACCTCAAGGTCAGCAGTTCGAACACCCCAGTTGCTCCTTAGGAGTAAGATGAGGTTTTCTACTCTCAGAAAGATTGACAGCCTCAGAAACCCACAGGGGCAGGTCTGCTCTGTCCTACGGTCAGTACATTGGAATCCATGGTTGGCAGCAGGTTTGGTTCGGGCTTGTCAAGGAGATCTGGTGGGACTGTCGGCACTGTTAGGTGGTTAGCAACCACAGCTACTTCATAGAAGAAAGATCAGGATGTCTATCCCAGTAAAGATGGACAGCCTCAGAAACTCCGTGGCACAGTTCTTCACTGTCCAAGAGCGTCATTACAAGTCAGCATTGACTTGATGGCAGTAGCTTGGGGGTGGTTTGCATAGGACCATGCCCTGAGGAGTCCTTGGGTTGAGCAAACAAATCAACACTCACTATTCACCAAAGCTTAGTGGTTTGCACCCACCCACCCACCCAGAAATGCCTGCAAGAGAGACCTGGGGATCTGCTTCCCAAAGGCCCGGCTCTGAAAACCCCCAGAGCCCGGCTCTACTCCGCATACTCAAACAGTGAGGTGAAACAGCCGGTGGCAAACAACCACAAAACAACACGTCTACAGTTGGTGTTGGTGTTGTTAGGCTCCATCGGGTTGGTCCTGATCCTTAGACCACAAAACAAAACACCACCCAGTCCTGTGCCACCCTCACAACTGTAGCCCACTGCCACAGCTACTGGGCCAGTCCATCTCATAGCTGCTCTTGTTCTGCTGATCTTCCACTTCACCTGGCATGATGTCTTTCTCCAGGACACATATTTACTACCACCCAAAAGCAAACAAATTAAGAGGCAGGTCTGGGAGGGGTCACAGTGTGGAGCTTCCATATCCTGAAGAGGGGCCAGACATCCTTTCCCGTGCCCACGCATGAGCACCAAACAGGAAGCTCCACCTGAATCTCCCTGTCCAGGGCTCACCATGTGGCCAGGACAGAATACAGGAGGCATGGTCAGCAGGTCTAGTCAACCCCCATCCAGCAGGTGTGGCCCCGTTCAAAAGAACAATGGCTAAATGGCTTTCTGCAAGGTGACTCATGCCTCGACACCCCAGATGGCACTGCCAACCCAGGTGGGGAAGAAGCTGGTCAAGGATAGGGTGGGGTAGGCCCTCTGTTTAGTATCAGGCCAGCAGGGATTGGCATATACCACAGTGCTATAAGGAGATGGTTGCGTGTGGAGCAGCATCCTTCTTCTACCCTTCCTGGCCTCTGTCACTTCCAGGCAACTCTCTTCTGCGTCCCACATCCCACCCTGGCTACCAGCCACATCTTCCCCAGGGGTTAACATGCATCATGACCTGGCTGCAGGTACCACCCACCTGCTCCCATCCTCCATTTAGAACCACCACCATCCAGCTTTGCCATCAAGGGCCTGGTTGCCTCGCGACTCTGATTCTTAGACACGAATGTTCATTGCAGGGCCATTCACGATAGCCTATCAACAGACGTATGGATACACAAAATGTGAAGCATACACAAACTGAAATACCATGCAGTAGGGAAAAAATGAAGGAGCCCTGGTGGCACAGTGGCTACACGTTGGGCTGCTAACTGCAAGGTCAGCAGTTTGAAACCACCAACCAGCTCCCTAGAAGAAAGCTGAGGCTTTCTACTCCCATCAAGAGTTACAGTCTTAGAAACCCACAGGGGAAGTTCTACCTTGTCCTACAGGGTCACTGTGCATCAGCATCCCAACCTCTAAGGTGAAATTGGGCAAATCATCCCCTCAGTCCCCGCTAGCTCCACCCCCAGGCAGATGGGGAGGGCAGGGAAGGAGAGTCAGGGAGAAGAGGTGGGCAACAACAGGAGACTTTAACCACAAGAATGGGCTTAGCATTGTGCAAACCCCTGCCCCAGTCCAGGCCTGCACATCCCCCAGCTCTCTCCAGTTCTGCTGCCCATGCCCATGACCTCACCTGAGCACAGAGCAGGAATGGGCGTGCTGCCTCCCAACCTCCCTTCTCCCCAAAGCACTTTCCTTCCAACTGAGAAGACAAAAAGAGACAGCTGGACAGAATCCCCAGACAGCAGGGATTGCATAGGATGCAAAAATGTAGGTGTGTGTGTGTGTGTGTGTGTGTGTGTGTGTGTATGTGTGTAGGAGTCAAGGGCCCTATCTGGTAGCCTGAGGCTCCAAGTTCCCATCCTGCCAGTCTCCTAAGGGCTGCCTACACAGAGCCTCTGCACACAGCGCTCCAACAGTGCTGCCCGCTGAACAGTGCCAAACACTTTGCACATTTGGGAAATCCATCTGAAGGCTCATCATCAGCCTGTCTGCCTAGGTAAACAAAACGGCCTGCCAGCCTCTGGCAAGCCCCTCAGTAAGCCCCCCACTGTCGATCCCCAGCCACCAGCAGCCTCACACTGTCTCCCCCACTCTGAGTCCTGCATAGTCTCAGGGCAGGGCGGCTGGCTTCCTACACATGAACTTCAGATGGCTGCCAGCAGAGGACACCAGCACACAGGAAAGCCCGGTGTGGCTCCCCAGGGCCTTGGCAAAGAAAGCCCTGATGTCTCTGTGTTCCCAGCAGTACACCAGCTGTTGTCCTAGCTGGCCCCACTTTCGTCTGCCCATCCCAGAGTGGAACGCTGACACCCTGTGCCTTTTGTGTAGCTACAGCCATGTTCACTTCTACGCCCTTCTATATGTTCCCGAGGTAGTGACTAAGCCTCCTTCTATATGTTCCCGAGGTAGTGACTAAGCCTCAGACCAGAGTGTCAGCACCTTGTCATGACCCAAAGCAGCTGAATAATCTGCAGTACAGAAAGTAGGACACAACCCCCACCCCATGAGGCCCAAACTTGCTGTGGCCACTGCAGCCTGCATGGCAATGAACAAGGATTTACCGGGGCTGCCCCTGGCTCTACCAAGGGGTGCAAGTAGGCAGCAAAGGTGGAAAACTTAGGGGACAAACAACCCAAAGCAGGGCCCCATGGCAGCAGCCACTCACCCTTGCTATTTTTAAGCACGTCAATGTCACTTTTTATAATCTCTGAGGTAGGCGGAGAGAACAGAAGTGGCACTGATACCTTGAAAGGGCAGCTCTGCTGGCTTAGAGAGGGGGCCCTGGGACACCATGGGTCAGGTGCCGGGCTGTGAATGGCAAGCTTGGAGGTTCAAACTCATCAGCCACTCCAAGGGAGAAAGATGAGGTCGTCGGTTTCTGTAAAGATGGATGGCTTAAGAAATCCCTAAGGGACAGTCCTATTCTGTCCCCTAGGGTCATTGTGGGTGACCAAATTAATAGCAGTGGGTTTGGTTTGGGTTGGTAACACAGTGAGCTATATGTGAGCTGCTCACTGAAAAGTCAGCAGTTCAAGCACACCACCCATGCCATGGGAGCAAGATGAGGCTTTTGAAAATATTGACAGCCTTGGAAACCCTTAAGAGACACTTGTCCTTTAGGGTCGCTATGAGTGAGAATTGACTCAATGGTGACAGGCTTAGGTTGTTCAAGGATAACCTTATTTGCATGGTGCCCATGGTCACCCTCCTGGATTAGGAGATGGGGACAGACCCAATCAACATGGGACTGTGTGTGGCCTCACATGCTGACCAAACACATCATTAAAGCAGACTTTAGCCCTCTCGACAGGAGTGTTATTGACATGCAGGGTTGGCAAGTTGGCAGGGTTGGAAGTCCCTGCTTCCCCCTCACTGGGCTATTTCTCTCCAAAAGGCCCTGGGAGTCCCCACAAGGCCCCTCACCTATAAGTAGATGCTTTTTGAAGAAGTACCACCAGGGAGGTACCTGGGGGGGCCTGGAAGAGCACTCACCAACCAGCGCAGAGTCTGGCATCGGAGCCAGTACCTACAACACTACACTGTGAGATGTGAGGACAACAGCTGCTCACAAAAGACAAGCTGGAGTGGGGAAAAACCCACCAGGGGGCCGAACTGACCCATGCCCTGCCAGCGAAGGCTCTGTGGGAGGGGTCTGCCACCTGCAAATGTACCTGTAACAGCTGGAAAAGTGGAGAGGGTGTAGGAATCTGGAGGATAGGAGCCTAGCCCCACTCAAATGCAGGAATGCTGGGGCCCTGAGGACAAGGGTGGACCTCCCTGTGGTCATCCTTCCCAGACCTGCCCACTCACCTGATACAGGAAGGCTCCTGGGAGACAAGCCTAGGAGAACAGGAACCTTGGAAACTGGCCTAAGCAGGGATGACCTTGGGAACAGTATTTGTTCCCTCAGGTTCATTCTTCTGAGCTGTGAGCAGGGTTGGGTCAGGGTGGTGACAATGCCCCTCAACTAGCTGTCCAAGGGTTCCTAAGCATGCGCAGCAAATGGGCTTCCCAAGTCCGGCAGGCGGTGAGCTCCTCAAGCCCATACTATTACAGCTGCCAGGGGAAGAAAACCTTGAATTTAACGAGGGCAGCCAAAGCAGACCGGAGACAGATGGCAGCCCAGCCTCGTTGAGCCTGCCCCACTACCCTCCACCCCCACTCCCAGGCTTTGGGGCTTGTCCACGTGCAGTGGACTCCCTTAGAACAGAGTGCTGGCCCAGCAGGACGCACAGGAGCTTCAGCTGGCCCGAGCTCCATCTCCAGGAGGAAAGGAGCAGAGCACTAGCTACTGCAGTGCCAGGGCTGGCGGGAGGGGGCACTTCGCCCAGCTGTCTGCCCTGTTTTGGGTAGTGGGTAATCTGAAGGCCGCAGACACCCGAGGAAGGTCGCCTGCGGGTACAGAATGCCCTGGCTCTGAGAGCAACAGCCGCCACCCGCTCCCAGAGCTGCCCCTGAAGCTGGCGGGGGATGAGGAGTGGTGGGGAGGGGTGGGGGGGAGGGCGCACAGCCCGCCCACTCCGCAGCGACCACACAGTTCCCCGTGCTCCCGCAGCATGTAGGTCCTATTTGCCAGCGCCTCCGCGCCCCGTTCAGGCGGGGCGCATGGACACTTGCAAACTGCGTGAGGTGCTTTCCCTCCGCAGGTGTCGATCTGGTCTCCCCAGAATCCAGAGTCCCCGGGAGGGCTGCTTGATTTCCACTCCGCGTTAAAGGAGCCAGAGACGAGAGGGGGTGTTGGCCCGCCCAGGTCCCCCAATCTCCGCGACCCCCCAAGGCCAGCCAGCCAAAAGCAAAGTCCGCCGGCCCAGACCGCCCGCCCGCCGGGCACTCACCGGCTGCCTCTCTCTCGCTGCCACCTCCAACTTCCGGGTCCCTCATCCGTGCGCCGCAGCTACCGCCAAAGCCCCGCCCCTCAGGCTGCCAACGCACTCGCCATTGGACCACGCAGCGAGGCACAGGGCGGTGCGCCGCGATCCGTGGCCTGGTTGGTTGCGCGCGCCGTCCCTCGGGTATTGCCGCCTGCCCCGCGCCCTCCCTCCAGGCTGCGCCAAGCCTTGGGAAGAGAGTGGGCGGGTGGGTTCCTCGTGACCCTAACAGGAGCCCGGTGATCTGTCATCTGCACCCACAGCCACTTGCAGCTGCCCCCGATCGCATGTCCTCAGAGGCTTCGGCTGCTAGACCCAGCCTGAGCCCAAGACTCCCAGCTGTCACCTGCCCGCCTAGCAGCCCTCACCGACCCTGTCACACGCATGCTCACATCCTTCGCCAGGGTGAGTCTGGGTCTTGGACTCCCCTCCTGTCTGCCCACACTTAGACCCGGGACCTGCACGTCCTCTTTATGGACATCGCTATCTCTTTGGTCTCTCCTCCTGGTCCTCGCTAAGGACAGACCCTAGTTCTAGGCTGGTTCTCCAGCCCCACCCTTCCCACCTCGGGGCGATCTGCAGTTCCAGACCCAGAATATAGACTCGCCCAGTCTGAGCTTTGCTGGGTGAACAGACAACCCAGCAAGTGGCAGGGAAGGGGCCTGGAGTAGGAGCAGCAGGTGGGGCAGGTGGGCCTTTATAAAGGAGGCCTTTATCTGGGATCCTCACTGGCTGTGCCTAAGTTCTGAGCCCTGGGTGATGGACACAGGCTCAGAGCCTGCCTCAAGGGCACTCAATAAATGGTAACTGGGGAGTTGTTGCTAAAGATGATAATTACAGCATGTGCGACAATGACATCCTGCTGTTATGTGCCTTGGAGTAATTTTCAACTCAACCCTATGCACAACAGAAAGTAACAGTAGCTTGTGGGAAACTGAGGATCTGGGAGGATGTGCAAGAGGCCTAATCTCTACACTCCTTGACCACAGGGCTTGGAACTCCCCCGTCCTGAGATAATCAGTAAAGCCAAATGCACATATTCTCCAGGAAGGACATTTCTTCACATCCACCCTCCATAATATGATAAGCTGTCTCCTACAGACACCTGGCTTCTCACATGAGTCAGTTAAAGGATCCCTATCTCTAAGTATCTGTTGCCTTTGTCTTTTATTCTTAAAGAACTATTGACACCAGTTGTTTCCTTCTGGACAGATACTTCCTTTGAAG